TATTTTGTTTTACTCCTCCTCCTTTTTCCCCTCAATTGGGAAAGAGTGGGGGAAAATTGAAAATTTGAAGTTAGAGATTTATGTCCAAATCGAGAAGTAGAATACAGGGTTTTTAGAAAACCAACAGAAAGATATACCATCATTCATACCTCAAGCACATATCCCATTGCACTAAAGACATCTTTAATATATAGTTTAAAGTAAAACTCAATACAAGTTACATTGATTTTGTTTTTTTATATTATCATCTTAAAGATTCTGCCTAAATTGGGGGAATCTCCTGATTGCTCAGATCCCCCTCCAGTGACTGTAAATTTAAGGATGCTTTGATATGCAGTGACAATCTGTGCTCCTCTATGGGAAGCACTGCATGAGCTCGGGGGTTTGGTACAAGAGAGACACAAATGTAAATGTTTTTGTTCTCGTTTATAAAGCAGTAAAAGAGTGTGGTTAATACACCATGGATGACCCTTTTAGTCGCAGGCCATAAATCTTTGTACAATAGTCAATACACATAAGCATAATCTTTCTATAGGGTCATAGCCCTCGGGCGATATTAGTCTATAGCTTCTTTCTTTCTTTGAACTCATCTCCTGAGTTAGCCGTTCCTGTAAAAACAAACTCTTGCTGTAATGACATTTCAGAACAACAGAACATTGTTGAACACATCTACACATCACAAACAAATCAGCGGATCAGTTTTCCCACATTATTTTTGGAATTAAGAGTTTAAACTGCAGCTAGTGTTCTTGTGTGCAATCATAACATAAGACAGAAAAGTTACCAATTCTGTTCCTGTCACCCATACCCTGTATAACTATAGAAGAAAATGTATGTATTTCATTCTAGAATCAAACTGAGTGTATTTACTAAAACTCGACATCAGGGGTCCTCAAACTCCGGCCCCCCAGATGTTGCTGAACTACAACTCCCATGATTCTTTGAATTATATAGATAGCCAGAGAATCTGGGGGGGCGGAGTTTGAGGACCCCTGCTCTACATAGAACAATACTTAGAAAACCTGCTCAATAAACTCTTAGCCAAACCCCACTCCTTCCAACGTGATTGATTATAATTCGATTTTAATAAATTCTGTACAATGGATTCTTGCAATAACCCTCTTCTTTTCCTAGTACAAACTTTCAATCAATGAAAATTAACTAAAATAGTTGAAAGATAGTTTTTTTTTGTAATAAATATAAAATGTTTCTTTTTTTTTTTTAAACAGGTGACATATCATACATTATAGATAACAAGACCTTTTGCAAGTACAGTTTAGTTACATAAACAATTCAGACAAAAATTAGGCATGCTTGTTGTCAGTGCTTTCCGCACAAGAACAATATAGTGTGGGACCACTTTTGTAAAGTTTAAAGTAGGAAAACAAACTGACCTGTCATCGATCTCCTGTTAAAACGAACACCTATCTCTTTGACCTGGTTCCATTTGAGTGTTTTGCATTTTATCATTGCTGAACAGTTTAAAGCTCTGTAAAAACTTACACCTCATTTCCCTGTTAGTATAGCATTAATTAGTCTATCTTATTCCTTGATGAAGGTCATTTGTTTTTTCGAATCATCCATATCTCAGATAGAAAAAGTAGCACTCTAGAAACCATACCCACTTTATCTAAATGAAGTAGTTATGGTGCACAGAGTCCGATGGTGTTGTCTTACCTTCTAATGTCAAACTGCATCAAACAGTTTAACACAGATGTAGTAATCACAAACAGAAAGGAACTGCAGAATGAAAATGACATTACCATTTACAAAATATCACCACTTATGCTTCCATGACATGAGGTGGCCAATCTCAGATATAATACTACAGGTAAAGAACACATATTGCATGATGAGCAGGCTTTGAAAGCTATAAGAGGATACAGAGAATTACTAAAAAAAGAAAATGCCATATTGTGAGGCCAAAACGTCGTTCTCTATACCCTGTTATACCCAGTAAAGTCGGCTCATCAGGCATCACAGAGCTCCCAGACTTCTTCTTTACCTGCAACACAAAAGTAGTGTGTCTAGATGTCCATCCGCTGCCTCTCCTTTGGTGATCAAGCTAATGTGAAATCTTTCACTTGAGTAGCAAAGGGGCGTCAGTGGTAGGCTGACAATGATCAACTAACACTCTCATTGTATCACATGCTCCCCATTGCAAGCAAATATACAAACAGGATGCTCTCAGCCTATCAATGTTTGTCGCACCAGCTAATGCTTTTGCAATAGGTCAATCAGCAAAGAAGAGGCAGCAGGTGGGTGCCTGGAGATAATACGTCTATGTTAAACCTTTTAAAAACATTTTACCACTAGGAGCTAAGACAGTGCCACTGGACTCTAGACAATGTTTCTTTAATGAAACAACGTCAGTACCCTTTCTCAGGTTCTCACATTCTACTACTAGTAATGGTACTGGAGATTGCTAAATTAGTACCCAGATCGCTATAACTCTAGAATATGCCTGAATATGAGAAAATCTCTGTGTGTTCTTCCAAGTAAACAAAAAGTTTAATTATTATTATTTACAGAAAATACTGAATAATACTCAGAGCTGCAAATTTAGTGGGAACCAAAAATACATGAATAAAAATATGCAAAAAAGAATAAATAGTGTTGTACGTTTAAATGTTGAAATATATATATGCAGATTGGTTACACAGATTCTAGTCATACTAGATGTTGAAATCCTTGGTCATAACATTTTTTCATTTATAATTTTTTTTTAATAAGTGGCCATGTGGTGACATACGTAATCACTCATGCTAAAAGTCTTTCGTCAGTGTGATAAGATAACAAATAACACAATGGGGCATATTTAAAAAAAAAATATAAAAAGAAATGGGGCAAATTTTGGCAGAGATTTATCAAAGAAAAGCTTCCCAGTGATTACTGAGTCTTTTTGCTGTGATAAGTAATTGCTTTGCCCCAGAATTGTCCCAGTGTAGAGTGACTCATAATGATAGTGTCCTGGTTTTAATATGTGACTGTGTATAACCATCATACCAAGCATTAAATAAAACAAGGCAGGGACATACAACAGTGCAGAAAAACAGGGGGAAATACATTTTACAAATCAGAGTTTCACTGTTAGCAAAGTAAGTTATTACTTGAACTTAAACCTTTTTTGCGAACGTTGATAATTATGAAAATATATTGTTTTTTTATAAGTATATATAAATGTTGTAAAGGATAAAATTGGTGCTGGTCAATGCAGTCTACATTAAACTTAAAGGAACATTGTAGGTAACATAACCAGTTGTATGGATTGAAGTGATTATGGTACCTGGAGTTCATGGGCACTGGGTTCCACATCATTGCTAAATGATTCATTCACTGTTGAGATTCTTGGTCCCCGGCTGCCAGAAATCCAGCCTCCAATGATAATATGGCAGAAGCAGAACGTTCTTTTCTTTACGTCATACCAGTGAGAGTGGTCAGTGATTGGCAGCGTCAGTGGTCAGTGTCACTGGAGTCAATCCCTCGTATGAACTGGTATGGCGCTACGAAGAAGCATAACTATGCCTCTGTTATACCATCTTTGGAGGCCAGTCTTCTGGTTGCTGTAGACTGAGAACCTCTACAAAATGTGATTGCGCAGACCCCAGGCACCATAACCACATCAATCTTCACAAGTGTATTTAATAATATAAAATTATAAAATGTATATGTTGTATGTGGAGGGGACACAGGTCTTGTGCCCACCCCATATCTCCCACTAGCACGTGTGCTGCACTGACAGGACTGAGCTAAAGGTGACACAAACCGAGGGACTGAAGAGGGTGGTATGAGGAATGCTAAGTAACATAGGGAAGGAATATGGAGAAATACACACATAGCGGGCAAGGCACACATAAAGAGAGCAAAGAGGAATTTCATGGGGGTAAATAAGAGCTCAGCCCTGCACTATATTTACTGTTCAAAAGGACACTATACATCGTTGTTGTACAGTTGCTCTCTACAATTTAATGTAAAAGGACTGTGTGCAATTGGAAGGTTACTTTGAGAGTTGTGGCACTATAAAAATGAATTATGCAGTGTAGTAAAATGTATTAAATGTTTCAGAAGGCTTTAGGTTCTACAAATACAGATTGGCTTTAGGTTGTACAAATATATTTGGAGCAACATTTTGTACATATGTCTTCAGATGGACAATGATTTTGTCTTCCTTTTTTAACCCCTTAGTGACCAGACCATTTTTCAATTTTCTTACTGTTAAGGACAAAGGCTGTTTTTACATTTCTGCTGTTTGTGTTTAGCTGTAATTTTCCTCTTACTCATTTACTGTACCCACACATATTATATACCGGTTTTCTCGCCATTAAATGGTCTTTCTAAAGGTACCATTATTTTCATCATATCATATAATTTACTATAAAACAAATTATAAAATTTGATGAAACATACTTTTTCTAAATTTGAACTCCAAAATCTGTTAGGCATTTACAACCGCCATAACACACCCATGCTAAATAGTTTATAAATTTTGTCCTGATTTTTTTTTTTTTTTTGACAATCAATTTTCATTGAAATGTTTTCTTTTTTGTTATATCAGTGCATGGTTGGGTACAGAAATAAAGAAGGGACATTGTGCATATAAAATTTGTTACAGGAGACAAAGGGTCAAGAATGTAACAGCCAAACATTGACATTATGACATGATGGTATAGTAGCTTAGGGAGATCAGCAACAGGAGGTGAATGGTCCGGCTATCTTCTAAGTCTACCCCTGACCAAGGGGGCAGCGGGGGAGGGGAGGGATTATTGGTGTTAGAGCATTCCCATTAATGTATGGCTGAGTACCCTGTCGTCAGAGGTCCGGAGCATCTATCTATGGGTGATTAGGCTCCATTTAGCTAGCTGAACTAGGCTGAACACGTGTACTGTATCTGGCCAAACATTAGTTTAATTTGTAGATAATAAAACTGAATAGGTAAAAATAGTTAAACTAAACATAAGAGGTTCAAACTGCAGCTTCACAGCTGTCAGCATCCTCTGTGTTCAAGTCCCTGGTGAGGAGAACGGGAGCATTCCAGAGGTGGAGGGGACAACTGTCTTTGGGTCTCGTGCCTGTGAGCTGGTTCGTTGTGCAGGGTCTGTCTTCGGGCCCTCTGATGTGGTTACCCTGTCCGTTACAGCTTGTAAATCCACTTTTATCACTGCCACATCGGCTGCTAATAGGCCCTTTATCTCTGTGATCAGATTGCGAAAGTCACGTTGCGTGACCGGGGCTGATCCCTTCATGTCTCCTGTAGGGTGAGGTACCTGTTCAGATGTGTCAGACCTGTACCAGTCGGCACAGTCTTGAGTCCCACCGCCGCCGCCATTTTGGTTAGTGGCTGCCGCTGAAGCATGGAGCCAATGTCTCTGGTCCTCGAGGGTGGTTTCTGGTTCAGCTTTTGTGTCCATCGCCCCATGGTTGGTGTCCAGTTAGGTAGAGGAGCGAGCGGAAAAGCCTCCGTGTCTGAGTCCTCAAAGGGCTCTAGGCCGAAAAGTAGTGCAGACAGTTCTAGGCCTGTCTGTAGGCCCCAGACCTCTGCTTTTGTCGTTTCGCTTTGGCGGTGTGTAAGAACAGCACAGAATGCCGCTTAGTGAGCAACATATCTGCGCTACAGACTCCCATCTCAGGTAAGAAGACTTTGATCAAGCAAACACAACACAATGGACAATTATTTTAATTAGAAAATGTTACCAGGGATCAAATAGTAATATACAGACAGTTTTAAGCCACATGTATTAACACATATTCATGCATGGTTACAATATTTAAAAATCCATCAAGAAACTTGAGACACAAGCTTTGTTATTCAGAATTATTTCATTCTAATAAGTATTAGCTGAGGACATGACCTTTCCCCATAAATAAATTTAAAAAAAAAGAGAAATGAGGTAAGTGCATAAAATGATCAATGAAGTAGCCATTTGTATTTAGGGAATATAAACGTGTGGTTGTGCATTGACTTGACAGGTGCATCGTCACCATACGGGCTGGTGGAATAAACAATCCCCATCATCCACCCAAAAAGACACAAACACTGATGTTATACGGGTCAAATAAGTCCACAGCTTTATTAAATATATGTTAATCATAACTTAACATAAACATGAATAAATAAAGTAATTGCCCCCAACCCCTACCCTGTAACAGAACATAACCCTCACGTCATGAAAAAGGCGGTGACACATATTTGTAAGCAACAAACATTTACATAACAAAACATTCAACATCATAAACAAAATACATAAAGTGCCATTTACTTCGATAGCCATGGTAGGGGTATACCCGGATAACCTTACCCCACCAGGTTCTGAGATACCGATGATACCAAATTTAACATGAACCGTTAACCCCTTCTCAAACAGCAGAATAACTACCAGGTACTTAACAAAGAGCCAGTTTTACCCCTAACCTTCAGCTCACTAACCCCACCACAAGCTTAGACCTTGACCCCTAAAGACGTCCGAGCTCCACCACCCACCGAAAAAATAAGGCCCTACTCAGTCCTTCCTGAAAGCCAAGTTTAAAAGGTCCCAACCCACATCTGAAAAGTAAACCCTGTCAGGGCGAAAGTAACTGGGTGGCATAGTCTCCAGCTCTGTGTGCCTAACAACCACGCCCCCAGTTTACCTAACGAAACTGGCCATTACACTATTCACCATACCCCGACACTTCCCTTGCGTACCACCACCATAGCCAGGGGACCATCTACGACCATACCACTAAGACTCACGGAGCCGCATCCCGAAGCCGATTGATATCCTGTTTCATCGATTTTACAAGCTGCTGCTGAGGGACAAGCCCTAGGTCATTACCGGTATGCAAGACCACAAAGTCTGGCGTCCTCCCACTAGCTAATAAACGAAACAAAGCCTCACATACATCTCTCCAACCGGCGCCTAGGTAACCAAACCATTTGATCACAATCCGGTCTACAGGAAAACCCAGCTGCTGACCCTGGTCATGAGCTGTGGCCCTCCTCTTCGCCCAGAAAATGAAAGAATGGCCTATGATCCAGGCCACCCGACCTACAGAGAGAAAAGAGATAATCAATCAACAACCCCTACAAACCACCCTTCAGCAGTCCCAGGCGCACATATGACTGGAACCGAACTGATTCCCACCTCCCTATCCTTTTGACAAGTTCCTTACCAAGCTCCAACCGGGTTGCCCCGTGGCTGCCCTGATGCAGAACAAATGGGTCCCGAACCGGTCGGGTTGTAGCCCCAGCCTCCCCAGTCCCATCCTGAAAACCTTAAAGAACTGAAAACGGGAAAGTGAAGCACCATCCCCGTGCCGCAACAAGGATCCATCTCCGGAAGGCTGCTAAGCCAGATACCGTGACACATTGGCAACCGGGCACAACGGCAACCCCGGGAGAGCATACAGCAGAAAATTCTTACCTCTTCCACGCACATCAGTCTTCAAACGGGCCAAATAAACCACAATCCGAGTCTCCCGAAGTCACACATCCGCCAACTGCAGGCCCCCACCTCCAACCCAGGTAGCACTCACAAGCTTCCACGATCCGGAAAGCGCCGAAAAATGCTAACACAAATGCGGTACGAAATAGGAGGGACTTGGAGCTATTGAAACAGATCTCCATCTAGACCCGAAGCAGACCGTCTAATACCCCCAAGGACACAGGCCGCCTCGTATCCACAGACTTGCAACCCCTCCGAAAGCCCTTTAGCAATTGTCACACAACAAAATGCTTTGTTAGATCTACCCACCTATGGAGCTTCAACCAGAAAGCCAGCGCAGCTATGTGCTGATCCACGACCGCCTGAGAAACCCCTCTTACGAACAGACGAAACCTAAACAGAACTGCGTCCAAGTGAGAGTCATACACCTCGTCTCCGATCCAACCCACGACTCCTCCCAGCCATCCCAAACCTTACGGCAGGCCATCCAGGTGCGGGGAGCTAGAGAAGCTCTCACAAGTCCTCAAAGCAAGCTGTTCCGAGCACCCACATCTCTTCCAGGCACGCTTGCACCTCGTCCTGCACTCTAGGTGCCACCATCTGAAATCGGGTCCACTGCAAATGAGACAATGTCAGTTACCACATTCAAATAACCCGGGACATGGCGCGCACAGAAAACCACATTGAGAGACATACAGAGCAGCACAAACCTACACAATAAGCGCACTACTGGCCCCGAAGAAGCCGATAGGTGGTTGATCGCGTGCACCACTGACATATTATCAGAGTAAAAGACCACCACCTTTCTGTCCCTAAGCAAGTCATAGCGATAGCGCCACTACCAGCAGAAAGAGCTCAAGAAAAGCCAAGTTGCGAATGAGCGGGCTCACCGTCCACTCAGCAGCTCTGTGCACCACCTGCCTGAGAAATACACCCCGAAGCCAGGGCCGGACTGGCCCACCAGGATACCGGGAAATTTCCCGGTGGGCCGTCGGCACCTGGGGCCGGGCAGACAGCCGGCTCACCTGCGGCCGCAGAGGGAGCTCCCTTGGCGGCCGCAGGGGGAGCTGGCTGTTCTGCCTCTGCTCCCCCTCCCCAGCGCGCTAGAAAGAGACCGGGGCCGGAATATGACGTCATATTCCGGCCCCGGTCTCAGTAAGCAGTGCGCTGGGGAGGGGGAGCAGAGGCAGAACAGCCAGCTCCCCCTGCAGCCGCCAAGGGAGCTCCCCACAGCCCTAGGTAGACATTGTGTGTGTCAGTGTGAGTGTATGTGTGTGTTTGTGTGTCTGTATCATGGTGTGTGTGTGTCTGTGTCATGGTGTGTGTGTGTCATGGTGTGTGTGTGTGTCTGTCTGTGTCATTGTGTGTATCTGTGCGTCTCTGTCTGTCATGGTGTGTGCGTCTGTGTCATGGTGTGTGTCTGTGTGTCTCTGTCTTTCATGGTGTGTGCATCTGTGTCATGGTGTGTGTGTGTGTCTGTCTGTGTCATGCAATGTGTGTCTGTGTCATAGTGTGTGTGTCTCTGACTGTCATGGTGTGTGCGTCTGTCTGTGTCACGGTCTGTCTGTGTCACGGTCTGTCTGTGTCATGGTGTGTGTGTTTGTCATGGTGTGTGTCTGTCTCTGTCATGTAATGTGTGTCTGTGTCACGGTGTGTGTGTGTCTGTGTCACGATCTCTCTGTGTCGTGGTGTGTGTCTGTGTGTCATGGTGTGTCTGTCTGTGTCGTGTGTGTCTGTGTCACGGTCTGTGTTATGGTGTGTGTGTCAAGTTGTGTGTGTCTTTTTTAAGGTGTGTCTGTCATGGTATGTGTGTGTCTCTGTCATGGTGTGTGTGTGTCTGTCTGTGTCATGGTGTGTCTGTCTGTCATGGTGTGTCTGTGTTTCTGTCTGTGTCACGGTGTGTGTCTGTCATGGTATGTGTGTGTGTATGTGTGTTTTTACTCACCTTTTTTTTTTTTTCCCACGTCGTGCTGGTCTCCCCTCAACTGGCCCTGCCTCTACGGCTGAGATCATCAAGCTTGATGATCTCAGCCAATCCGCACTGACACAGGAAGCACCTCTAGTGACCGTCTGAGTGTCTGTCACTAGGAAGCAATGTAAACACTGCCTTTTCTCTAAAAAGTCAGTGTTTACATTGAAAAGCCTGCAGGGACAGGCTGTAGACACCAGAGCCACTACATTAAGCTGTGTGTGTGTGTGCGCGCCTGCTAGTGAGTGGGCTTGCTTCTGTGTGTGTGTGTGTGTGTGTGTGCCTGCTACTGAGTGAGCTTGTGTTTTTATTTTAATGACCTTATGTATATCAGTGAGATTGTTTGTCTATGAGGCTGTGTATCAATCAGCTTGTGTCAGTGAGATTGTCTGTGTCTGCATGTGAGTATGCTTACTGTATAATTAAAGATTTTACTCTGAAAGAACCAATATTTTATATTGGAAAAAGATATATATATATATATATATATATATATATCTCAATCATCTAGGGTGGCAAGACATAGCCTTACATATTACATGCGACAATATATGGCACAATGACTTATGGGGCTGGCATAGATTTTTTTTCCAGGGCTGCTTTGGAATCCCCAGTCCGGCCCTGCCCGAAGCCCATGCTTCGCAAAGCTTCAGTGAACAGTTCCAGGTCTGCCGCTATAATGGAATTCTCCTGAAAAAGCACCATCCCATTAAAGTCCCGCAAAAATCAATCCCAAACCTCCAGATCCGCCCTCATGGGCAAAGTCACCTGGAGATAATGGTGAGGCGACAAGCACTCAAAGTTGAGTTTTTCGAGGAGCAATTGCATTGTGCGAAGCATAACCTTCCGAGCACGGCTAATCTCCTCCACCAGCCCCCGTAAGGCAAAAAGCCACCTCAGTATGCACCTTCGCCATAAGGGCATCACGTCCAGCCTGCATAAACAACTCGACCGCATGGTTAAATGATGCGTAAGCAACTTAGCACAGATCCCCTTCAATGTCGTCATTTACAGACGA